TTGAATATAGTTTAATTCGGAGCTTTTGTGAAAATTGGAGAAGATTCATTCGAATCTCATCGAATCGGATAGGAATCTACGGAAATATTTCAGTCCAGGATCATTACGAAGACCACCATATTACAAACCCTACGGAGAGTGTTACAAAAGTACTATCATTAGTGGCTTTCGTAACGAAAATATCAAAAAAGGAGGAAAAGGAGGAATGGATCCACAAATGGAGGAGGGGGAGGAGCCTTTTTCAAAAAAAGGAGGAAAAGGAGGAAAAGGAGGAGCACTCACATACCAGATAAAAGTTAATTATACGCATATCAAGACGACAAAACTAAACACACATTTCATAAAATATATACAAAAATTGATCCTATTGCAAACTTTTTTTTTCTTTTAGACACATAATATTTCGATGAGCGAAAAATAACAAAGCTATGAAAAAAGAAAACAGTTTAATACCAATGACAGTCGAAAACTAGGATGCTACAAAATCAGGCCTAAAAAAGGATGGTCCTGTGGTTTCCTATGGAAAATATAATAGCGTTAATATTTTGCTGCTACACAGAATAACTATCTGTTTACGTACCATTATCTTCAATTATTTCAACACCATATTCATATTAAATTGATTCATTCAGACCATTTTTAGTTTACAAATGCTCTTCAAAATCAGCTAAGCTTCAAATTCTGTGAAAAGTTATGTGAGAAAAGAAATATATGACTAGTAAGCGTCTGGACGTACATGAACGTTTGACAATCTTCTTTCCTTTCACTTGAATATCTTTTATGGATGATCTCTTATTAAGAAACTGTTTGTTTTAATCTTGTTGATATATTCTAATTATAAATGAAGTCATTTCTTTTATTCTAACGAAATTTATTATTGAAATTTCCCTTTTTCTTGTTTCTTAAATATATTTTCTTCATTAGTTCTTTTCGGATTTATTAAATTAGGAATTTCAATCGAATCCAAATCATAGGCTTGCTATGAATATATTAACATGCATGAATGAGAGCAATAATAATTACTTTCACTTGATTTTTTTTTAGAAATTTCTATTATACATTTGATAGTACAAAACTAATTCAGCGAAGTACTTCTTGAATTTAATCAGACGAATATATGTCGACTTTTATCATCAACTGTATTTTATTTTTCTATACTGGCTTTGCTTTTTACTTGCATGATACTTTATTATGCAGAATAAGGTGTCAACAGATACTCTGTTAATGGAAACAAAGTTCCTATTTATACGTGTTTCAGATTTCTAATGGGAAATGTGTGATTCAGTTATAGTACATACTTTTTGATCACTGAGTTTTACACGATTTTGATATAATCTTTTGTGGCCTTTGTAAGACTTAAAATGACTTCCGATAGACTTTTCCTCAAGCAATTTAACGATAATGTGGATTAAATACAATTATTTACGCTAATTAACAACATCACATTAAACATTTCAAATACAATTTAGTTGCAGAAAAGAACTAATATTTTTCCACAATGTCAGAAATAATGAAAAATATTGAAAAAAAAAATTAAGTAGTTCATTTTTTTTGATGGCGCTTGTGCCACTATGAGATGGTTAAGTTCGATGCGGTAATTCTATGCTTCATCCGAAAAGAACATCAAGTTCAGAGGTTTTTTAGATTTGGAACTTTTCGAAAACGCCATCTAGTTCAATAGATTGTTAAACCTGTTTCCAATAGAAGATCCAATTTTCCTTTACTCATCAAAAAACTTGACATTCTAGTGAATTCACTATAGAATAGTGTCTATCTCCTGATGGAATCGAGTGAAAATCATAAAACACTTCTAAAGAGAGGTGTCAAATTATATTAAATATGATCCTGCTTTCGAAAACTTTCGAATCTTTAATATTCTAAGCACGACATTCGTGAAGGCTATTGAAAGCATGATGTACATTGTTTTTGGCGGCTTTTATGGCAAATTCCGATAGAGAATGGAAACATAGCATCGAACTCTATGTATGACTACTTCGCACTAGCTCTTATATTCAAGGAACTTATTTGAACTAAATTGATTGGAAGTCAATGTAGTAAAAGCGTAAAAAACAGGTCGAAGAAAGTGTTTCGTTAGTCATTCAGAGTATCATGAAGGCCAAAAAGATCATATTGAAATTGTGAAAAATAAAGTAGCCAGAAACGGTTTGCAATAACCGATTACAATATTTCGTATTGAAAAATATCACTGGCGAAACAATGGTTATCTTGATATACGTTGTTTTATAGTTCATTTTCTTTAATGTATTGATCTATCACCAATTCATATAAGATTTCATTATGTATTAAAAAAAGAAACCGTGATTTAAATCCTCACAATGCTTTGACTGATACAAACATTTTCATATGATAATAATTGCAATTCATCAGTGCCATCACCGTTATGATGTCGTGAGTTTTCTTCAATGTTATCGTCTTGTACAGAAATTATAGGATGCATAACGCTGTGATTTTAAATAATATCAACAACAAATTTTATACCAGATTGAAGCACATCGAATTCAAAAAATTCCTAAGTTTTTACGCTCAATCAGCAGAGATAAATTCCCAAGGGGGAAACAGCTCATCTCGAGCCATTCGAATAGCTAGGAATGGATCGTAATTGATCGGAATAGCTATGGAATGGATAGAAATGTGTAATTTTCTCATAACTTTAAATTCGAATTTTAACGTCTTAGTATTTCTAGAATCGTCAATTTTTAGTTCTAGTGACTGTGTCAATTAGGGTTACAGATTCGGATTCGCCGACCATGATTACCTTCTGTGATACTTTATAATGTTTTTTAATCCCACGACCTTGGACCTGTCACAGACAAACTCATTTTATTTCATATGACCCTCCCTTCAGTCGAGGGAATAAGCTCACGAGAAAAGCTAACTTTAAGATGCAAAGCAGTAATTTACAAAAGTTAGGTATAGATGTGAACAATTTCGAATATCTCTGATTAGATAGGAATGGATAGGAATGCCCGAATGAGTGTTTCCCCCTTGTTCTACTCACTGTTATCGACAACTAAATTGTATATGTGTTATTTTTTATCCTTCAACGTTACTTGAATATTTTAGAAAAGCAATTATTAAGTGTGAACAAATGAATGTAATGTAGAATAATCCGGAATCTCGGATATCGCGTGCCACCTAGATTATACGAGAAGAAGAATTCTAATGACTTAACAGATCGATTAGAGGATTCTTACTAAAATTAGCCCCACTTCAGAAGCGTTTGTAAATTTTTTGGAAATTGGCCAACAAAAAAATACGATGACTTTGCTCAAGAAAAACAAAATATTTTTCGAGATTTGTGGATCAAACTCATGCTGCCCTTTCAGAATACAACTACTTTGCATTTCCAAATGAATTTTTCCCCATCGCATCGATGTTTCATGTACTTAACATATGGATATAGTGTGGTTTTCAATCAATGAAAATCGATTGATTTTCGCTGTTTGATATCGCTACTTGTGAATATGCGGTAGCTAAGTTCAACATTATATAAATTGAATTCGATGAAAAATTGTAACCTTCGGAAAATGGCAAGTTTCTAAAGACAGATACTGTCATTTATAGAAATGATACAATAGAGTAGAAATGAACCATTTGCATTAACTTAAAGTTAAGTATTTAGAAGAAAAATATAATACCTGGTGTTTAATGTTAAATAAAATCACTTAAGTAATGCAATTTATTCAGTCTCGTTAAATAAAATAGTCCACTCCTATAGGACAGTGCTTCGGAGTAAATAGGAACGGCTGGGAATGCCAGGGAATGCACAAATGAGTTTTCCCCCTTGTAAATTCCCTTCTTCAGGCAGTTCAAACTTATGAAGCCGAGAAGAATGACAATCAGATACGGAACACAATCATTTTGATGAAGAAACTTTTAACACACATGAAAATAAATATTGCATCTTTTGAAATTATTTTATGCTCATATCCATCTCATTTGTCTTCTATAGAAACGCTAATGCTCATCATACTGATTGTTGATTATGTTCATCAAGTTTTAAGAAATAAACATTACTTTTTGATATTCATCATTTTAAATGGGATCTGGTTTAAATTGCCTCGCGAAAGGAATTTTTCTCAGCTAATTTGACGTAGAATTTTAGGAATTATCTAAATTTGACACTGAAAATTTGCATTAACGCTTACTATTTACTGTTCGTGAATCCAATATTTGACATGTTTTAATGTCGTTTAAAATTTTTTTGTTGATGTTGTTTGGAACTCACAGTGTTATCCTCTCTGACAAAATATTTTCACGCACTCTGTACTTTTACGAAATGTAAATTATTCCTTAAAATTCTCATAGTTTTTCATCTACTTAAAGTCATCTTCACATTTTCTCTTTGTTCTTTTGTAAGATCACATTCAAGTCATTCTCTTGATCTATTGACAGTGCGTACAAAGAGCAAAAAAACTTTTTTTTTTTTCATAACTTACAGAACAAGTAACGCGACACAAACGTCGCTAACCCTTTACTGAAAGGATCTATGCCGTTGTGCATGTCGTGGGTGAACACACGAGCTACGGACCTACTATTCTCACATATACTTAAAGGAACAAAGGATGTGGGTGTGGGTGTGGGATGAAGTGTGGAGTGTGGGGATGGATATGGATGTACGTCTGATCGAACTGAAGACTCACCCACACCTACTCAACCCACCCACACCCTAATGACTCACTGTCGATATATTATCACAATAATACTGCGGAAATGTCTAGAGTTTTGTTATGTTTGTTATAAAAAGTTGGCAAAACTCTTACCCTGTAAAACCGACAAATTCCATTTTTGACGAGCATTCATTTGGTATAAAATTTGTTATTAGTGCTGTTTAAAATCATAGCGTTATCTCCCTGGTAAATCATTTTTACGCACCCTGTACTGTCGAGCCAAATGAAGTTCTTTGTGATAACTAATATAGAGTTCAACATGATGATACATAAGCTACTCCTAAAGTTCTTGAACAATTAGTACGACTTATGCATATAACTCATGAAAATTTATTAAAGTATCGTGGCATTGCTCTTGAGTATGATCATATATTATTCTTTATGGAGTATTGTAGTCATGGTACAATAGCTCAACTTTTACTCGGTACCTCATCGTCTTCATCATCATTACATATAGATACACGTTGTCTATCAGCTTCACTTGTTTATTCATTAAATCATACATCATCTGTTGATAAAGATATTATACAAATAACAGCTGATTTTGTTTTTTTTTGACGAATATCTTGTTCAAGGTTATTTAAGACAATTATTATCAGCATTATCATGTTTACATGAAAAAAGAAATTATTCATTGTGATACACGAATATTAATATATTTTTAAAAGATTCAATTTTGTTTATGATTCTAAATTTATGAAAAAACAATCATTATTACTTGATATGGAAGTTATTGCTAATATACGTGAATCAATTGTTTTTTTTATGCCCCTGAAACTATAACACAATGAAAAAACAATTAAATCTGATATATGGTCATTATATTGTACAATTGTTCATATATTAACAGGTTGTATACCATACAGTAATTCATCAATAGCATCAAGTGCTTATTATCGGCAAGTTATTAATTGGGTTGCTAATGGTGTACAACGAACAATTTCAACTGATTTATGTTTAACAAATGAATGTATTGGTTTTTTTTGAGCAATGCTTCCGACATGATCGTAACCTACGATGGTCATCTCTTGAACTTCTTGAACATCCATTTGTTAAAGAAATATAAAAGGTTTTTTTAATTTATGATTTGTAAATAGATTGATTTCTTCTTTTAGAATTGGTAATAAAAACAAAAAGAATTATTTTCATGTTCAATTTTCTTAATGCTTTGTTTCATGTACTTAAAGCTTTACTAAATAATAAAAAAAAATTCTTATGATCGAAATGAAAGAAATATATCGCTGCTATTTAAGACAAATGAGCCTGTCTACGTAAAACGTTATTCCGTCACGCTTTGTTTGTTTCATTACGTACAAACTACTCAGTGTCTAGGATCAAATGTTTTTGCAGTTTTGGACCAAAAATTGGGCTTTTCAAAATGAGACATTGTAAAGCTGTCCACGATTCCTTATTCACTACAAACAGAGCGTGACGGAATAACCCCTTCCGTGGACAGGCTCAAATCTTTCATTTACGGCAACTATTTCAGTAAAAGAAAAACTCATTCCACGGCTACTTTGTTTTCAACACAACTTGTAACGTTTGACAAAAGTTCATCAATAATCAATTTTATTTTTTTTAAGAAAATAGAAATATATGCATTCTATAAAAAATATGTGCAATTATCAACAATATGTTATATTTTGTAACGATAGAAAATCTTTTAAACAGATTCAAATTCTTTTTGACATTGTATATATTTATCTTTAAAGGCTCGTGTTGATAATTTTATTGTTGATAAAACTTTTTCAACATCAGTTGTTGTTATTGAATCAAGTTGAATACATTTACTTAATTCAGGATCTAAAATAAATTCGAAAAGAATTTTCATTAAAATCAAAAAACAACATCATTTAATACCATCTTGAAGGGTTTCAAGTATATCAAATACTTGTCGCAATAGATTCATTGCGGCTTCTTTACATACAAGTATGATATCCACACCAGAATAACCCTCTTTAGATTGGAAAAAACAAATTTCTTAAATATAATTCAATTTCTAATCATACGAACATTGCTTAATCGCTCATAATCAAGATCAGAATATCAAACAAGACCATTATTTTCACAAATAACAGTTGGTGGTAAAAATTGTTGAAATATAGTTTCTTGGGCTTCTTTTGTTGACAAATCAACTAAAACACGTTTTTCTAAACGCCTTAACATAGCATGATCAAGTTTTCTAAAACATTTATCATTAAAAAAACTATATAAATATATAACAAAAAAAACCTAACCAATGTAAATTTGATGCAGCAAGAAGAAAAACAAGATCATTTGTTTTAGCTTGGTGCATCAAGTTGAACAAGTAATTCAGTTTTCATTCTTCGACTACTCTCATGTTCACTATCAAAGAAAAAAGAAATTTTTTCCAATAGATATAAAAAAAATTGCATTCTTTTTTTTCCGTACGATCTTGCATTATCATCACTGCCATGTTGACTCATTATTGCATCAAGTTTATCCAAAAAAAAGTGCTGATGAAGCATGAAATCGTGCTGCTTCAAATAAAACGCGTACAAGGTTTTCCGAAGCATCAAGCCATTCGATAGCAATAGTTAATGCTGATATATTAAAAAATGTTGTTTTACATTCAGTTGCTACTGCTTTAGCTAATACAGTTTTTCCTCTACCAAGTAGATCATATAACAGTAAGGCTTTCCATGATTTTTAGTATACCAGTAAATAATTGTGCATATTAATCAAACAAAAATGATAGTTTTTTTTTGTTTTTTCCTTTAGTATTTATTCCTACTCGTATTGGATAAACAATTTCTTCTTTTATAGTACGTTTAGCTGCATCAGATCCAATAAGAGAATCCCAATCTACACTTGGACCATGAAGATAGATATCTTTGAAAACAAAATTTTATTTCAATATGCGTTTGTAGAGAATTCTCACACTTGTATGCTTCTCTATTTAAAAAGGAAATCACAAGGATGTCAACAAACATTTATTAAGAAAGTATAATCAAAAATAAAATGAATAAAATATTAGTTGCAATGGTACTCATATGTTAGTTTCATTTTCACAAGTCCTTTGTTATGCGCTATTTCTATTCTTTGGAATAAAATTTAATAAAATAACAATATACAAGTACTTTAGAATCTAATAGAACTTCAAGTTCTATTTATCAATTCGATCGAAGCAGTTCCAAAGAAGCCAAGCAAGGCTACGCATGAGATGGGACAGTCTCATCCTATTAGTTCCATGGAATGCAATATTTTTGAAAGACGTCACATAGAACAAATGGAACAGAAAATTTTCGAAGAAGGTTCCATTCCATTCCGTTCTATTATATGAAACAAACATCTTTTATATAAAGCTATTTTTTGTTAAGAACAATACAATCATTTTGATATAGATGTCATTCTCGCTTATTCGAGCGAAACAGTCTAGGAATGAAGAAATCATATTTTTCTACTCTGTAGATTGTTAAGTAAATTGATAAGTTTGTTAAAAAAGTGTACCTTTTTAAGAACATCCCCCCTTCTTTTTTGGCCAAAACCTCGATTTCGAGTTGGTCCTAAGATATGCTAACCACAAGTGTCATGTACCCATGGAAAATTTTTTTTTTGTGAAAAACCGCTCGAAACCACGGTATCACAAACTGCGGCAATCAACGGTTTTCGAAACCGCCAAAGTCAGACCTTTTATGCGGTTTTTCAAAACCGTCAAGAGCCGCGGTAATTTCACACCGCGGCTTTCACCTGTATTCAAAACCGCATAAAACGTCTGACTTTCGCGGTTTTCATAGCCACATCTGACTCAGGTATGACCAGACTAACCTGAACTTTCGAAAACGTTCAGGTGAGCCGCCCTTCGAGGGGCACTGTAGTGAACTTTTAGAAGTTCCATTACCACAAAATTACATTGTAGTGAGAGATAGAATATGAAAACTTATTTAAAAATTTCATGAAAATATCAGGGCACGACATCCTCTTCGTCCTTACACATTCCATTACGATGGTATAAGCACCAGACATACCGCGGTTCTTCAGCTGAAAACCGCGGTTATTCGGCGGTATACCGCGGTTACTGATGGCTATACCGCGGTTTTTGAAACCGCTCAATTCTGTGCTATTTACCACCGCGGTTACTTATGACTATACCAAGGTTTTTGAAACCACTTAATATCGTGGTATTTGCCACCGTAGTTATTGATGGTTATACCGCGGTTTTTGAAACTACTCAATTCCGCGGTGTTTGCCACCGCCGTTACTAAGGACTATACCGCAATTTTAAAAATCGTTGAATACCGGTTTATGCAATGCCGCGGTTTCCAATAACTATATCGCAATTTTTTAGACCGTTGAATACGATGGTATTTAGAACCGCGGTTCTGAATACAAGCAACGCGGTTTCAGGAAACCGCGGTTCAAAACAACCGCCATCAACCGCGGTTATCCAATCGAAACCGCGATTTCCTCTAGTAAAACCGCGGTCGAATGAAAAAAACCGAGGTTTTGAGCGGTTTTTTGAAAAAAATTGTCCATGGGTGGGTGGGTGTGAGTGCGGGGAGTAGTGTGGGTGGGTGAAAGAAAGAACAACGCCCACACCCACATCCTAGTTTCAGCCAGATAGCAGAAAGTCTATTACATACGCATGTCATCATCGATGAGACACGCGAGGAAGATGAAATTCGTTTTTCTTCTTTTTCTTTCGAAGGTTTCTCGTTTTCGGTGCATACTTTCCCATTTCATTCACGCTATCATGTATTTGTGTTTCAGTCACATGATAGTTATTCTAACTACGCTCTTTTTCTTGTCTCGCTTTCGTTTGTTTTTCTTTTTTCACAACACGCCTCTACACATATTGTAAACCTTCCTACTACGTAAAAACAATTGTTTAGTAAGAACTGATGCTTGTTAACGTATTAGACGCAAACTATGTTTAATGAAATGATGACAAAAAATACTTTGCCAATTCTTCTCTATGGTCAGATACAGAGCTCAAATGATAACAGATCATTATCATTACATATGTACTATAGGTAGGAGAAAAATCACCTTTTCCTGATATCTGGCTGAAGCTATAGGAACAAATAAAAATCGGAGATTCATGTCCTTTGGTTACGCCGGTATAACCAACGGATACACTAATCTAATAAGGATGTCCCCGAAAAACCAACATAAGCAAAATTAATACTATCGATGTTAGTTTTGCTAAAAACCGCTGTCATCATCGTTATGTTCTTCATTCGATCCTAAAGGCGAGTTCGTCAAGAAGAACATAAATAGATGTTTATTTTTTATTTCTACGAGAAAAAAAAACATAATCAATATCACGCACATGTACACATATGTATCAAAAGAAGAACAAAGGAAAAACATAAGAAAGGTAACACGATAGAATAAGTGACCATAGTTGTCATAACACAAAGTATCAACAGTCGTAAAAACTTATCTATGAACTGCAAGGAATCGCATAGAAGACGTCTCGGAGCGCACTCTTTCCGACTACACAACCCCGAGTTCCATAACCTTAGCCGATTAAAAGTTATTCAAAAATGGTTACAACCATTTATCTCTGAAACGGACAATAGTGTGGTAAAGTTAAAAACATTTCGGGATAGACAATGAACATGATCATTGTACTGTTTCCATTGCTTCACTAAGTTTGGATAGAGTTTCGTCATCATATTTTTATCCGTATTGAGATGATTTGATGTACCAGCTGTTAATACAAAAACGACGAGATCATTCATCAAGCAGTGTTATTTTTTTCTTTTAAATTACAGAGTTACTCTATTCCCTACTTGTATGTGTCCCATTATTATTTATCACATTGTAATATGTATAAAATAATTTTTATCTCGTTCTACTTGTGAATGATAGAATATATCTTAATCGTGCTATAGACGTTGTTATTGCATATAGAACTAGAAATAAGCACTCACTACCCAGAATAAGACGCTGCTTATTAAGGAGAGGAAAGTTCACATACGAAGGTTTACTCTAATTGCTGGTCGTGTCTGTCACTGTGACTTCTATGAATTTAGCATTCTTCCTCTACTTAATATATCAGAAAATAGAGCACGTGTACAGCCATTTCGTTGAATCCTTTGAGTGATACTAGCTATACGTGAAGCAATTTTCTTCTTATTCGGTTTCTTTATTTTATCAAAGAAACATTCCGATACAGTAAAAAAATAGTTTTAACGGAAAAAAAGCTATGCCCCATGATGATCATATTCCAGGAGTGACGGCCAAGCGTTGGTATTCCTCATTTCTTTCCTTGTTGTGCGTCTCGTGGTCAAGCATTCCTTTGGCAAAACCTCGCTGAACTATAGGGATGTTGTGATCGGCTCGTTCATTCACCTTTTGTGCTTCGTCAAGGCGTTCTTCCTCGCTTTCCAACATGAGCAGTTTGCTCATGGTGGAGATACGTGAGGTGATTATTTGTGTGGTCGCCTTATTATATAAAGATGCCAGACGGGAGATTAAGTCTGTCGTTTGATCCATATCACCCACAAGCCAGAGCATTCTGTTCCTATCGTCGATGAACTATAATTGACAGATTATGAAGAGATAATGAGTTACAAACAGATATACGTATATTACCTTCACTGCTCGAGTAGCCACAAGAGAGAGCATTCCAGATTCTTGTGCGAGCTGTTTCCATATGGCAGTCAATGATTGTAAACGGGCAACAATGTTCGATACAGCTGTTGCATGATTAATGTCTAAAGGTGACTTGGTTGACTGTGTGGAAGTCGACGATGGTGTTGATGGCTGCACCGCTCGAAGCAGTTCCTGAAAGAAAGCGGTAACTTCTTCCAACCCTTTCAAGACTTCGTCAACAGCTGAAGTCACATCATTGCCACTCTTGGCAATGTTATCGAGCGTGCTTGGAAGCAAGATTTGTCTTTCCTGGATCGTCGCCTTAAAAAGTATCTTCAGAGCTGTGCTCAACTCTTCAGACACATGGTTCATGGTCATCCCCATACCAAACATACTCTTCTCAGCTGTTCTGAAAGCACGATCAACAACATCAGTTGCTTGAGTCAAGGTGGCCCGATAGGATGCGGGATACTTGATGTAGGTATAAGGGCGAGATGTGTCAAGTGTGTAATCTCGACGCGACATCACGATGCATACGTGAGAGAGTTCGGAGATTATCTGTAGTGGTTTGACTACGAGATCTTCCCATGCATCGATTCTCATTGGAGATGATGATGAGCTTGGCATCACAGTACTACTCTGTGAGCGGGCAAGACTAGCGATAACACTAAGTACGATAAATACGGCAAACATTGTTCTAATAGATATTGTGAATCGCAATATCGGAATGAAGAAAACGTAAAAAAACGCGAAGTATATAAGGCTTACAACAGGTGTTCGTTTTCTCAGTGCTTTTATTTTTTTTCATAGATTTGATGCATCCAACCCAGGGTATCATTTTAACGAGGGCAAAGACTACATTTTAAACGTTTTTATTTCGAGAATATGAGTGAGAGAAGCAACCAATCATTTTCGTTTGACGTCAACGAGTCTTGATCAGACCTTTAGTGCCTTTTAGTAAAGGCACTAAAGGTCTGATCAAGATCCCTTGACGTCAAAAGAAAATGTCTCAGTACTATGGGGTGTTACTTTATTTTTATTGTTGTTCATAATAAAGAATAAAGATAAAATAACAAATAAAGAATTTTTTCTCAATCAAAACAAATTTTTTTTTGTCTTGTTGAAGTAGTTCACAAAAAATGATTATAGTATACAATGAAATGTACTACGCAATAACATTTTTTCCGTATATCGTTTCGTGTGTGATCCTTATTTTTTGATGATATGACATATGAAAGTAATGATGGTGATGAAAAAGAACACTCGTTAACGTATTCTGTTGCTATACAAGATATTTGTATTTGTATGTATAACATGAAAAAATCTATCTCTTTTTTCTTTATTTTATCTTTATCTTTACTTCATAAAAATAAAGATTTTATTTATCTTTATCTAATAAAGTAAAGATAAAGTAATACCCCCTAGTTGCACTACTACCTTGAATTTCGTTTAGCTGCACTTGAGCATCACTTTTTGCTGCTTGCTGATTGAGTGTGGGTGTGGACCATTTCTTCACCCACACCCACCCCACCCCGCCCCCACACCCACACCCACACCCAATGTCTTGTTCTTGTGAAGACGGGCATCATACATTTTAAAAGTATTTCTAGAGATGAAAAGCAAAAAAGCGAAAAAAAATCGATTGTCGCTTTCGGAAACAGTTGATACTATAAAGTCGAGAATAAAAGTACATGCAGTTATTGTTTGTAAACAATTAAATTTTCTCGTGAAGTTTGAAGCATTTGTTTAACTGCGTCTGCCATTCTGTAGCCAGTCGTAAGAAAGAGCAGTGTCTTGTTTCCAAGCAACGTTGTAGCAAATAGTTCGAATCCCGTCTCATTTATGTCGTTATTATCAGATATGTCAAGCTCGGTTAGTGTCGAATTTTTTAACAAACTCTCGGCAATGACTTGTGCACCATCATTACTAATGCAATTGTTACGAATATTTAGATAAGTCAGAATTTTATTGACTCGAAGCATATCAGCTAACGTTCGAGCACCTTCATCGCCTATTAATTCGCGGTTGTTTGAAAGATTAAGATGATTAAGTGTTCGATTCGTCAACAAAAAGCTGCCGAACATAATGGTACTAGCATCAGACAGACGACATTCAGACAGCGTTAATCCTCTAAGAGTACGATCTTCTGACAAAAACTTTCCTAAACAGTCGATTCCAGCTGAACTGCATCTTATTGCACAAAGCGAAATATGAACGAGCGATGTATTCATGCGCAAAGCGTTCATCCATTGCTCTATATGAGTATCTCCAAAGTTATCGTCACCTAAATGAATGCGAGTCAGTGTCCGATTTGTCTTCAAACTCTGGCCTATTAATTCGATATCTTGCTCATTTAGTCGAATTGCCGAAATGTTCAGATCGATTAGAGTTCTATTAGTATATAACATCTTTGCTATCGCACACCCTACTTTGGCTTCAGATCTATTGTTTTCTTCCCTCGCACAGTTCGAAGTCGCGATATTAAAGTGAAGAATAGTTTCATTTATGGAAAGTGCCTCGATTATCGATTGAATACCATTGAGCGACAGTTTGTTATGCGCCAGTGAAAATCGAATAAGTTGACATGTCTTAGTAATCTCACAGAGGATTGAACTGCTTTTATCTGTTATTTTGTTGAAATCTAAGCAAAGGTCCTTTAATGTGTATTGAATCGATTGACAGAGACCATTGCCAATTATTATCATACATTCATCATCCAAATTCGACCATGAGAGATCAATATATGTCAATGTTCGGCTTGTAAGAAGCAGTGCACTCAGTTCGGTCGCAATTGTTTTACAGAACTCGAAATTTCTTCGTTCAAATTCGACTTTTCTCAAAAGCGGACTGTTTTGTAAGAAAATAAACAAATCTTTCATCTCCTCTTCAGACATTATTAATTTCGGTAGACGAAGTGAAATTAGACATTTAATCGAGGATAACCATTTGATTAATGGATTAACCTTAGTTTCGTCTTTGAAACTTCCTGATTGATATTCTACGTGATTTAGTTGCTCAATTGTGTTGCAGTTCAATGGCCAAGAACTGTTAACATAAATCTTCTTGGGTGGTCTTTGCCAAAGAGCATGAATTAGCACTTCACTCGAATCGAATGGAAAACGAACATCGACCAAATATAATGCATAATAGTTCAATCCACGGTTTAAGCATAGAATCAAATCAATTATTTTACCAGGATCCACGTGTAAAAGTCCTAATCGCTTGTCGAATTCGATACCATTCTTATGGAGTTGTCTAATTAGATCCAATTGTTTTTCTGGATAATGTTTTCTACATAACCAACGGATAGAACCATCATTATTGACAAATCGATACAAATCAGTAAAAACTCTCTGAGTAGGTACAGCCAAATAAGTTAATAATTGCGCAGTATTAACTTCGTCACAGGCTTCTGTTTTTGACGTATTCAATATTTTTTCTACTTTTTCCAAGCCTTTTTTATAGTCTTGCCAAGATACAGTGTAACTATTTTCATCATTGTATCTTTGAATAATGTGTTTGACAAGTGGCATCATGAATTCATTCAAATAGTTTTGGTACTTCTCAAAGAAAACACGAGGATTCGGTATAGAATAACCTGGATAAGTGGAGAAATGCATCTCTTCGCTTGAACATTCACAGATGATATGCAAAATATATTTATTATTCCATGGATCGACATCATTCCATTCGCATGCAGGATCAGGAAGACCAATAAATAGTTTCGGTATATCATCATTATTCTCATTGGCTTTATACACATATTCAAGTGTTCGATCTATTGATGCATTAATAGGATTTTCATCATATGTATTTTCGAAAACGCAAGGATTTATTTCTGAACTGTGCGACAATGTGTCTCTACATAGCTCATTTATCATCAGAGACTTATTTACCTGATTTTTATGATGATCTTCGTCATTTTTTTCATGCAATTTTTGATAAGCCTCGTCTAGTAATCTTTTTGTCTCATGAGACCAAGAGCGCCACCTTTCAGTGACGATCTGTTGTGTTTCTTCGATGATTATTACCGGTTCTTGATAATTTTTCATTTTTGTCTCGATGTTGCTCAAACAATCTTGGATCGATATGGGCAAAGAAAAAAAATCATCTTGTTGTTGTTTTTCATCCTTGACCTCAGGCAGCAATGATACATCATGCCCAGTTATCTCATGTCGTGCGCGGCGTATCATATCATCGCAATAAGTTGTCACAAGAACTGTATGGTGTTGTCTCATCCTTTTATCCATCTTTAGTATTTCTTTTTCTTTTTGTGCTTCCTCTAGCTGTTTCTGCGCTTCGCAGATCACATCTTTTGCACGCTGCAATAAATCACTTTGGAATCTTACCCATGATTCTTCCTCAACTACAGCAGTAAACCGATTCGCCAAGTACTGTTCGATGAGTTTATTAGGATTTGGCAGCATATCACGGTTAATGACGTTGATAAGTTCGCCCATGAAATCAGCAAGCTCAGTTGGTTGAATGAACAAATTTTTGGCGTTGCCTCCAAGTAATCGCTTCCCTCCAGATGTTAGAAGAGCTCTGATTGCAGTATTGATCGATTTCAAATATACTACTGATTCTTCCATTCGAAGCAATGTGTACATGTCAAGTAATTGATTATTTTTCATTAACACCTGTGGTAAATAGTCAATGTTGATTGTGTCTATTTGTGGTAACATACGAGTGATATATTCATATTGTTCTTTCAGTCTTTGATTGTGACCACTTGATAAATTGTTGCGCTCCTCGTCAACACTGAATATTTGATGAAGCCATTCGTCTTTCGAAATTTCGATATCGTCACCAGTATCACGATCAATGTGTAAAAACTTGGGTAGATCTAATGGTAATAGCCATATGTTTGGCAAAACATGCAATGATTTCATGACTTCGAATCGATTTAATGCATGATAGAGACGATCACATTGAAACCGATCTATACGAGCAGGACGAAGGACGACAGCAAATGCTGTACTTACAACCATGCAGAAAAAATACAAATTAGCACCCGTGTTCTCATCTAAATTATCCGTTCCTTCACAGTCGAGAATTAGAATTGAACCCTTTGTTTTTTCATCTTGATCAGGATGTCGAAGTGGCTCGGACCACATCCAAACACCTTGTGTTACTCCATTAGTACCGGCACCACTTCGAAACCAGAGTAAGTCTGTTCCAGGCGTCTCTTTTTCTAAAGCCGCTACAGTAACTGTTGCCAATTTACTTTTACCAACGCCCATATTGCCTACATAGACAATAATAGAAATGGGTGCTTCAAAGCGTTCAGCAAGAATCTGTTGTGCTTGTGAATTAATCTCCAATTGAGGTACATATTGAGGATTCTTTAGTTCTTCATCCGTTGGTGGAATACAGCGAACTAGTTGGATGCAGCCTTGCTTTTCATGCTTTTGATCATGTTGATATGCCATATCACAGAATCACTATTGATCATTACAGGTAGGAGATACAGTGACGGATAGATTGTAGCAAGCGATGTTTTTTTGAAGTGTCTCTGATTTTAGAAGTTGAAACTCACAATAATAGGTATGATTCTGTAAAAATAATAAAAGACAATATTCACGACACTATAAAATAACTTAGAATAACAATCTCGAAAAAAATATTTGAAAGTCTCACGAAACACAAATCCTTTTAGGGCATTTTTAAACAGCTTATATATTCCTACAAAGAATATACGAAACCATATCTAGTATGCATCCACCTGAGTTGTGAACGTGCCTCCTTGTTCCTGTTGTTGTTATGACAGTCAGCGTCTAGAGTATGTGAAGGTAGGATGTAGAGTATAGATGTGTATGTGTGAATGATGTTGTGGATATTGGCGTTAGTGTGTTCATTTCATCCACACTCATACTTTCACGAGCACATCATGGCCCACACCTACTACATCCTCGCTTTTGAAAATAAATGATGAGCGACTGGATTAGACCGCATTGGCTTAAATACAACATATTTTTCTCACTGATGTCTCCAACACAAAATTCTGCAATGCCAAAGTACGAAGGAACATTTTTAAAATCTATTTTCACTCTCCTTGATCGATATTCCTAAAAGTACTTTCTAATACTATTCCGCTTCCCTTAGCCTATTTCTATTTTTTCTTGAGCTATATCCGTAAAAACAGATCCTCCTGCACCTATGCCCCATTTCTCCTTTGACGTATTCTCTATAACTATAGCCTACACCTGAAATGTAAACTTGAAAACATCATGCGTCGCGATTTGTTCAAGATTATATGCATCACATTCTAATTGTGGCGCACCCGATGTAACAGTTAAACATACGACACAAAAGTGCGATGGCGTATTTTTTTTTGAAGTGCCGACTGTGCACCGTCGCTAGATTCATAAACAAAAATCGAAAATATAGAAAAGATCTTTACATCAGAACCATTATATGTGCGAGTCAATACGAACAGTTATTGTAAATGTAGTTGTAGTTGCAGTTTTAAAAAACTTTTGTCGCGAGAATCTTTGATCTGCAATTTTTACAACGTGCAAACCTAGGGTTACAGTTGATAATGTGTCGACACGAATCGCAGACCATATAGTTAGTCTCATCGCAATAATAGTACAAATTGCCTTGCCTATTCGAATTACAGTTAACATGTAACATATTATATGCACCACCGCGAGCTCCACAATTGTCACAAGGAGGTAGGCCAACTTTCCATGCGCGTGCTCTGTCCAGCGATTTATGGATCTCTTTTTCTCGTTGAAGCTCGTCTTTTTTTAAGTTCATAAGAGTCAGAGCGTCATCCAGCAATTTTTTTGTTTCACTTGCCTGAAGATGCATGTCTCTTAAAATGAGCTGGTGTTGCGCTCGTTCAATTAACGATATTGGTTCACGATAATTGCTCATTTTCGTTTCGATGATATCCAAGCGATACCGGATGAATGCTGGAAGGCTGTTAATTGCATGTTGTCGTTGATTTTCATCCTGAAAGTCAGACATCAATGTTGAATCATAGCCAAGTATTTCGTGTCTTGCATGACAAATGATTTTGTCGATATGTTTCTTGCAAAGATTTGTATGCTTCTGTTTCACTTTTTCAATTATGGTGGATATTTCTTGTTCACTTGG